CGGCTCTGGGGCCTAAAACAGTCACTCTCATCCCACTGCTGCCACTACTGGGGCCAAAGACTGGCTCAGTTGACATCCAAGTCCCCAGTTAAACTTTACTACAACCTCAATTAATAGCTGTAGCTTAAGCCACTGAGGAAATCACAGATACCACTGACCCTGAATACTGCCAAAGAAGTCATACAAAGGCCACTCTACTGCAGATCAATCGGAATTTCCCTAACCCCTTCATGAGACTTGTGACAGGGGTACTCAAAATACCTGTAGCGCTCAATTGCTCACCAGTGGGTGGGGTGGGGTGGGGGTGGAGCATGCTGGCAAGGGGATGCAGGAGCCGGGGCAGGTGTGTTTTGGGCACTGGCAGGAGCACAACTCTGTACTGGCCCTGCGGCAGCATCTGGGGGATGCTCACAACCCATGAAGCCTCAGAGGGAGTGTCACAGTCAGTGCTCTTTTGGCTCTGCCATCCACAAATGGCTTAGGTGTTTAACAGCTCGGTGTGACAGCCCTGTGTATCCTGAGCTCCTGTTCAGTGTCCAGGAAGAATCAGGTTGCATGAACGAATTGAAGATAGTAAATGTGGGGAATTTTATTGCCGATGAAGGTGGCTCTCAGTGGAAAGGGGAGCTGGAAAGGGGATGAAACAGGAAGGTATTCTTCCCCTGAAGTCTGGTCATCCCCAGCTGGGCTCCTCTCCAAAGCTATGCCATCAGGCCATCCCTCTGAAGTCAAGTTGCTTCTCTCTGAAGTTCATCTGTAGTCTCCGATGTCCAGCTGCTTCTCCTCTTCTCCCCTTCTCTGCTCTCTGCCAGTGGAGCCTGGGGATTTTATGGGTATGGCACAGGGGCAGGGGTGACGGGACAGGCCAGGAGTGGTTTTGGAAAAGGCAACATTTGAGCAGGAAAACAGGGATGTAAAGTTCCCCCCATGGGCCGTGGTTCCAGCCTTGAGGGTGGGTCTCTTACCAGGGACCCTGCCCTTTTGTGCCTAGAATTTTCCTGCCTCCTGTTCCTATCACAGTGCCCCAAATCAAAGTGTCTTAACAACGTACATCCTCAGGAAAAAATTTTCCCCTACAAAAGCAATTTTAACAAACTGGAACAAGTGACGTGGCTGCTACACCCAATGTGTAGATATCAACAGAAGGACACAGTCACCATGAAAAAGCAGGAAGATATGACACCACATGAAAGATCATAACAATTGTCCAGCAGTAGATCCCAATAACACAGAATTCCTCAAAATGCCAGATAAAGAATTAAAAACATGGTTCTTAAAGAAAATGTGATGCAATAGAAATCTGAAAACCAACACAAAGAAATCAGAAATTCAGTTTGGAATATGAATGAGAAATTTACCAAGAAGATACAGATATCATAAACTTCTATAATTTGGCTATTGCACAGCATGATGCATATAGTAAAAGAAAATGTATATTTCAAAATTATTAAGAGAGTACATTTCAAGTGTTCTTACCACGGAAAAATGTCAAATATTGAAGGTAATAGATATGTTAATTTCCTTGAGTTTAATTATTCCACCTTGAATTCATCAATCATGCTGCATCCCATAAACACAACTATAATTTGTCAATTTAAAACAAAAAATTAAAAAAATAAACTTAAGAGGTTTATTTTTAGTTTTATTTTTATGCTTTTTAAAATTCACATCCAATTTTTAGCCCTTTTAAAATATATTTACATTTCAAGATACACATTTGATGGAACATGTACATTTGTCAGTGCTTAGAAAGTTCCAGTCCTATAGTCCCAAAAAAAGAAAAAAAAAAAAAAAAACAAAGTTAGCCAGATGTGGTGGCATGTGCCATGTGCATGTAGTGCCAGCTACTTAGGAGACTGAGGTAGGATGATCACTTGAGCCCAGGAGGTTGAGGCTGCAGTGAGCTGAGATCATGCCACTGCACTCCAGCTTAAATGACAAAGTGAGATTCTGTCTTGAAAAAAAAATAAAATAAATAAGAAGAAAAGAAAATTTCTAAGATTTTCCTCCCATCCGCCCACTCCAATACTCATAGCCTGAGCATCTTCCCAAGATGCATCTCAACAACTCACTGAGATGAGTATTATTTCCTCTCACCTGTGAAGAAAGAAAAATTGAGGAATTATGAGACAAAACCAGGAGAAGAGAGGAAAGATTTCAGAATTAGCCAGAGATAAAACAACAGTGTCTCAGGTGATGACTATCTAGGGTTGGTGTCACGTGGGTAGTAAAAAGACTTCACCAAGACAGTTGTAGGTAAAGAAAGGCAGATTTTTTAAGCAAAAGTAGAAAAATATGTTGCAAGAAAGCAAAGGCACAACAGCAAGTGGGGAGCTGACTGCAAAGAGACAAAGGCTTGCTGGGGATTTTATAGGATGGTGCTTGTGCTGGAGAGAGCTACTTACAGTACTGATAATGGCAAGGTTGCAGTGAGCTGATTTGCATTTTTCTTTTTTTAAATGAAATTTAGGCCGGGCGCAGTGGCTCAAGCCTGTAATCCCAGCACTTTGGGAGGCTGAGACGGGCGGATCACGAGGTCAGGAGATCGAGACCATCCTGGCTAATATGGTGAAACCCCATCTCTACTAAAAAATACACAACACTAGCTGGGCGAGGTGGCGGGTGCCTGTAGTCCCAGCTACTCGGGAGGCTGAGGCAGGAGAATGGTGTAAACCCAGGAGGCGGAGCTTGCAGTGAGCTGAGATCCGGCCACTGCACTCCAGCCTGGGCGACAGAGCAAGACTCCGTCTCAAAAAAAAAAAAAAAAAAGAAAAGATATTTAACTTGGCTTTTACTGCATTTTTAAAATGTAAAAATGTAAAAACAAATACAACATAGTATTTCAATGCTGTACCTTTATGCAAATGACTTCATCTATCTTTTTAAAACTTGCTGTGATATAGCTAATGCTAAAACTGACACAGCTTCACTTTCTTCTTTTCCTGTATACTGAAAGCTGCAGAAATACACCTTTAATTCCAAGGCAATTTGGTTGAAGCCCTCAACATAAAAAGTATACATCCACTTCCACTGCCCTGACTTTCCCCACATTGTTAATTGTGAGTCTCTGTGCCATGTTAGTAGATTAGGCAGGCTATATATAATTTGTACAAAACATCTTTAGCCAGGGTAAGGCTTTAGAAACTATCTTAAAAAGAAACTTGTCAAAAAATTTTTTATATTTAGGACAAATACTAAATATTATAATTTTCTCCCAGCACATCTGTTTACACAGCCTAATTAGCTAGGTGACCTGCTAAAGATCGGCTTATGGAATGAATAGATGAAGTCATTTCCTGAGCCAAAAGATACAGATAATAAATGTTAATTGTCACATCCCACAGGATCGTCAATGTAGGCCCTAGAAGAGGGAGTGGGAACTCGGGGGGACAAGAGACACGATAAATGGAGACAAGACAGTATCCTGATCAAGTCTTGTTTTATTGGTGGCAGTGTAATGCCTTATATATACAGGCAGGGGCGGAGGTTGGGCCAGGGCGATGATGGTGGCCCTGCGGTGGGCGTGGCCAGGTAGGTTTCGGTTTCTTCGGTCGGACGTCATGTTGCGCCTGCGCCGTCGGTTGGTAATTTTCCCGGGGGCGGGATGGCGCCTGCGCTGTAAGTTGATCATTTTCCGGGGGGCGGGAAAATGGGTGATGAAGAACCCGAAGAGCGCCATTTTGTACTGGCCTATGAGACAGCAGAACAGGGAAGAAAGTAAATCTAGGGAGGAGGCATAGAGTGGAAGCGTATAGAGCTCAGGCGTCAGTCGTCAGTTATAATCACTATGGCCGGGCCACGCGGCTCCGGACAGTTAATAATAGTAGCAGACTAAAAAATTCCTTTTTGTTGTTTTCCATAGTCCACGGTTTTAGCAAAAGAACTTTAGAAAATGACAGATTTTTTTTGGTAAAGTTAATGCCTGAAAAGAGTTTAATAAAGAACATCCAAGGCCTGATTGCTATTTTTCTGAATGTAACTTTTCGTTACTTTCTGTAAGTTACATTCAGTTACAGTCAGACATCTTACTGGTGCATGGAAAAATGCCCCAGAAACCTGCAATGGTTTACATACATTTTACATTACATGTATTACCTCTTAAAACCCCCAACAGAATAAAGTCTTAGCAAACACAAATTTTAATTTCTGAACACCCTTCCAGTAAGATTGTAAAGGCGGGTGGAAGGGGAGGAAGGATTTGTGTTTTGTTTTCCTAGTCTACTTGATTAAAATTTAATCTTCCAAGGGTTTGTTTAGCTCACTATCCAGGCTGCTAGGGTTATGATGAACATTATTACTTCTTTCCAGGGTCAAAAAATGACATTTGAAAGTAATGTAAATGCTATGACATGATTTTCCCAAGCATGACCTCATCTTGAAACATTAGAATATTTAAGAATTCTAAAGATTGGTATACCACCACTGCACCAGATTTTTTAATTATTCCAACAGCTACAGGAATTTTTTTTATAGTTTTTTAATTTTATGAAATTAAAGCTGAAGAAAATAACTGATTTAGAAACCATAATAAAAGGAGAAATACTTAGCCAGAGATATCAGTTCTTCCTGAAAAAGGATAGGTTACCTCCTCATTTGCAGTTTTTGTCGCGGTATCTTAACTGATTTCAGGTAGAATTAAAAATTCACCTTAAAAATAGAAACAAACAAAAGGACTACTTAAACTGACGTTAACTAATAAAAATATGCTCAAATTTACGGACAGAATCATGGGCACTTCGTACAATACTTAGACTCTACCAGTTGTAAGTAAAATAAGGAAAAAATTATAATTACAAAGCCGGTCTTTCCCCTCGGGGAAACCAAAATCCACTTTTGACCAATTGTTCCCTGCATATACATATACTGTATATTATTATAAGCTTCTTCAGAGAAGCAAAGCATCTTTGTCTTCCCGACACTGGATTATTTAGCATGTTAGTTTTTTACATCAGGAAGGCAACTGCATGACTTGCATGTTTTTACCAGCTGAGGATCCGGTGATAGCTGGGTGCAGGAAGGTTGCGAGTTATTTATACAAGAGGGCTATTTGTCCTGGACCGTGAAGAAAGGCAGACTTATAGCTTATCTGCTTCTTCTTTTTGCTTTCCCCTGCTCCCACCGGGCTGACTCTTTTGCCGTTATTAGAACTCCAAACAGGAGTTCCTCTTCAAGCCCTCCGTATCCCTCATCCCTCCCTCATACCTTTAGTTAAGAGCAAGGTAGGGGCCTTTACCCGATACAGCTCCGGGAGATGGGAGATGAGTGACACTGAGACTTCGTACCCAGAACCTTCAGCTTCACAAGAAACTTCTGCTGGAGGCCAAAGGACTCGGGACAGCAGAGCTCAAAGCAGGGCCAGAAGATGCAGTTGGAGCCACAGCGACGGGTCTGCTCTAAGGACAAGATGGCGTCATCGTAACAGCACTGCTCCGAAGGGTTGTAGATCTTGTTCCCACACCTGGGCGCCGGCTGGCACAGCCATGGTCCTGAGTCAACGGCATCTGGGGGCAGACATTGATGGTGTGCATCCAAGGAAGAACAGATACTCAATTCCCGGTCTCTCTTCCCAACGTCACCTCTTCCCTTCTCATTCTTCCCTGTCCTGTCCTTACCTGTAGTTCCTTTTGAACACTGGGAGAGGAAGACTGTTATCCCCCAGACAAGAACTAAGGGAGAAAGAAAAAAGGTTGAACATGGAGCTGAGAATGTGACAAGTACGGAAACAAACAAACAAACAGAAAAAACGGGTTAGGGTGGTTTAAAGGTGGAGATTATCACTTGCGGCTAAATCTGTACGGGATCCTGTTCAGGCAGGCTCTGAGCAGCACGCTCGTCACGCTTTGAGATAACTAGGAGGGCACAGGAGGCTGGAATAATGTTAGGGATAAAGGGGAATGAATTGGGTTGAGGTTTGGGAGCTGCACTGGGGATGGGATGAAATGATATTTGGATTTGGGGTCCTACTTACCCAAGATGCAGCATCGTGGCATCATGCTTCCAAAGAGGCTCTAGGAGAACTAAAGGAGAGGGGTAAAAGGCTGGAACTTATGGATACAGGCTAAATGGGCTTGTCTGTTACCCTGGTAAGTTTACTGATTGGACGGTTGCTGATCGTGCCACCTGCAGTCTCCCAAGCACACTCCTTGAAAGTAACTGAAGTCTCCCAAGCACATTCCTTAGTTTCTGTAAGGAGGAGACTGGGTGGCGTTAAGGGACCAGAGAGCCGAATATTGCAGACTGACTAATTGCATTCTCTGTATACTGTTCCCAGACCTCAGGGTGAATGAACGTAGGTTGGTCCTACTCCAAGTTAGGCTTCTAAGAGTTTTCGAGCTCTGGCATTGATGAGGAGAGAGTGCCCAACTAAGCTCCAATCAGAATACTTCAGCCACTTCCCCATCTGGTTTCACATCCTTCCCTTCCTAATGCTTGCTTCTTCTAAATTCCCCAAGCACGATGTCTCTGGAAATGTCAAGGGGACCCTTTCTGAAGCCACTTTGTTTTTTGCTCTGGAGTCATTAGAGTTGTCACCTGCTCTAGCAGATGAGCCATGGCTCTGGAAACTTCAATAAGCGGGGTGGGGGTGGAGAATAGCAATGGCCCAAATCTCCTGGTGTGCTTGGTGCAAGGATTCAGAGACCTCCAGCATCTTAGTTACATGGTCAGGGAAAGTGCTAAACACCTGCTTTTCATAATCATATTATATTAGTGGCCAATGATATGTGATGTAGTACTTACGTGTGTGCAGTACTTAGATGTGCAGACAGAGGGAAGGGAAGGGCAGGGCAAACTGAGGCCTGCCAGGCAAGTGCCAGCTAGGGAAGGGCTTGGACAAGTTCAAATAATCCCAAAGCTATGGAAAGGACCTCAGCCTTCATGGGTGTGTGATGATTCCATCAGAAAATGTCTAAGGATTGGCCAGACTTTCCATCCTCCACTTGCTGGCACAGCATGGGGACGAGTTCATCCAGCCTGTACCATAGCCTTTGAAATGGTTCTCCTTTTCTGAGCTTTGTTCTTAGCTTCCTGTACATGTGCAGAGGTGTGGGGTGTGGTTTGGATGCACAAGGCTGCTTTTCCCTACTCCGGAACCTAAGAAGGCCAACAATGTGAAGATTCCTAGTGAGCCCAGGCTATCAGCTTGTTTGCTACCAAATGTTAGAAAGAAACGTTCGAGTTTGATTAGGTAAAATACACAGGACAAATAATAATATCTTTAATATACAATTATCATTCTTCTTCCAGATGAAACTTTAGCTTGACTATTGGGCATTGGGAAGTTAATGTGTACTTAATTTTTCATCTTACAGAAGTGGCGAGGGGCAACTTGAAGGGATAATTTTTAATACATTTTATAATGATAATCATTTAGAGAAATTATCCTTAATGTTGTATCTCATTAATACTAAGATGTCATTGAAAGACACACTGTTGTTTTACAACTCTAAGATGCAATCTCATCACTTAGAATATTTATACTTATTAACAGAGTTTCTTGCTCTGTTGAGACGTAGACTTTTGGAAGGCAAATAGAAAAATAAAAATATGTGGGAAATAAATGTGTTAAAGATGTCTTAAAATGTCTCCACATTTGGAGACTGCCTCCTGTGAATCATCTTTCAACCCCAGATTGGTTCCTGTGCTTTCTTACACAACATCGTTCTCAGTTCTACCAACAGCACTGGTCATGCAGAGTTTGCTTTTATTCTAAGCTGCTGACACCCATGCTGCAAGTTATCATTGAACTGGTGACACTAGCCCCTTCTTTCTTTGAATTTTCTTTCATCTACTCCTAGAGATTTTGACAACTCCTTCTGCCTTTCTTTCTTTTTTTTAAAATTATACTTTATGTTCTAGGGTGCATGTGCACAACGTGCAGGTTTGTTACATATGTATACATGGGCCATGTTGTTTCCCTTGTGCTGGGCAATCCTTTTGTGCCTACTCAGAAACAAAATGTGATACTCTTCATCCCTTTGTCTTCTTGTGCCCCATAAAGCACTTGGTTATTGATTTGCAAGAAAATATGTACCTGGGTTTATTCCTAAAACAATGAGTATGTGCTTCATTAACAGTAAATTTACGTCATGGTCTTCTATTAATGTGTCATTCTGCACACACAACACACGAGCCAAGTCATGGCGTTTTCTGATATTTAAAATGACAATTACACTCAACACATGAAACATAAGCAATCCACACAACTTAATTGAAGTGTCAAGAATATTAACCTGAAGACTTAGTTTGTCCCTGTACAAGCGGCAGCAGCTCTGTCACTCTACTTGTCTGGCAGCTATTGCAAGACCTTATTGATGATAAGTTGTATCACCAGTTCAAGGATATGGGAATGTAGACTATATATGTACATCTCTGGGTGGAGGAGAGTCATTCTAATTTGAAACTGAGTATTTATGAGGATCAGATGAAGTCAGACTTGAAAAAGCTCCCAGCACAGTAGCTGGCATGTGTCAAGCTCTTAGTGTTTTCTCTTCTCAACTGTGCTTTCTTAAGAAAGCTGCAAAACAGGCTGGCACAGTGGCTCACACCTGTCATCGTGGCACTTTGGGAGGCTGAGGCAGGAGAATAGCTTAAAGCCAGAAGTCCAAGACCAGCCTGGGCAACAAAGTGAGACCCTGTCTGTGCCAGAAAACAAAAATAAAATTAGTTGGGCATGGTGGCGCATGCCTGCATTCCCAGCTACTCGGAAGGCTGAGGTGGGAGGATCACTTCAGCCCAGGAGTTCGGGGCCGCGGTGAGCTGTGATGGCACCACTGTAATCCAGCCTGGGTGACTGAGTGAGATGCTGTGGAAAGGAAAGAAGAAGGAAGGAAGGAGAGGAAGAGAATAAGAAAGAAAGAGCAAAATATACACATCTTGTTCCATGAACTACTGACAATTTAGGTCATAGGCAATCATCCTTAGTCTAAATTTTCTTGAAGGAAGAAATAACTTTCTGGCACTAAGTTTCAACATAATTTAGGTACTGGACAATTTTTGCTGATTTAATGAAAATTATCAATCCTCCTCCCAGAAAATTGTTCTTAAATGGATGTATAGGTAGATATATAGGTAGGTAGGTAGGTAGGTAGGTAGGTAGATAGATAGATGTCTATCTTAAATAGATGTGTTGGTAAGATGTATAGGTAGGTAGGTAGGTAGATAGATAGATAGATAGATAGATAGATAGATAGATAGATGATGGATGGATGGGTGGTTGGATGATAGATAGATGTTAGATTGATAGACGACAGACAGACTGCATGCAATTTCCTTTTTTAGACACTAATTTTACTTTTTTAAAATGTTAAAAATTTACTTTTAATTTTTTCATAAGTTATTGGGGTACAGATGGTATTTGGTTACATGAGTAAGTTCTTTAGTGGCGATTTGTGAGATTTTCTTGCACCCATCACCCGGGCAGTATACACTGCACCCTATTTGTAGTCTTTTATCCCTCACCCCCTCCCAACCTTCCCCCTAAGTTCCCAACGTCCATTGTATCATTCTTATGCCTTTGCATCCTCATAGCTTAGCTCCCACATATTGGTGAGAAGATATGATGTTTGGTTTTCCATTCCTGAGTTACTTCACTTAGAATAGTTTTCTCCAATCTCATCTAGGTTGTTGCAAATGCTGTTAAATCATTACTTTTTTTATGGCTGAGCAGTATTCCATTGTATATATATACATGCCATAGTTTCTTTTTTTTCTCAGTAAACTTTTTAAATGGGTCTCAAAATTCTGTGATAGATTTTTGGTCAAGCTGTTTCCATTAAAAAGTTCTGATTTAGAAAACTAATAACTTTAAACTGCCACACGCAAAAAAGAAAACCAAAGTGGTCCACAAAACATTCTCCTTTCCTTCTGAAGGTTTTGTGATGCATTATTATCCCTAACTAGTCTTTTATTACTAAAGTTAAATGGCCAATTGAAACAAACAGTTCTCAGACTGTTCTTCCACCACTGATTAAGACCAGGGTGGCAGGTATTAGGGATAATATTCATTTACCCTTCTGAGCTTTCTGGGCAGACTTGGTGAGCTTGCCAGCTCCAGCAGCCTTCTTGTCCACTGCTTTGATGACACCCATGGCAACTGTCTGTCTCATATCATGAACAGCAAAGCGACCAAGAAGTGGATAGTCCTTGAAGCTCTCAACACACATGGGTTTGCCAGGAACCACAGCAACGATGGCAGCATCACCAGACTTAAAGAATTTAGGGCCATCTTCCAGCTTTTTACCAGAATGGTGATCAATCTTTTCCTTCAGCTCAGCAAACTTGCATGCAGTATGAGCCATGTGGCAATCCAGTACGGGGGCATAGCCAGTGCTGATTTGGCCTGGATGGTTCAGGATAATCACCTGAGTGGTGAAGCCAGCTGCTTCTATTGGTGGGTCGTTTTTGCTGTCACCAGCAACGTTGCCAAGATGAACATCCTTGACAGATGCATTCTTGACATTGAAGCCCACATTGTCCCTAGGAAGAACTTCACTCAAAGCTTCGTGGTGCATTTCGACAGATTTTACTTCAGCTGTAACATTGACTGGAGCAAAGGTGACCACCATACCAGGTTTCAGAACACCAGTCTTCACTCAGCCAACAGGAACAGTACCAGTACCACCAATTTTGTAGACATCCTGGAGAGGCAGGTGCAAGGGCTTGTCAGTTGGATGAGTTGGTGTCAGCTGGGTGCAGTCCAGAGCCTCAAGCGGCGTGGTTCCACTGGCATTGCCATCCTTACAGGTGAGTTTCCATCCCTTGAACCAAGGCATGTTAGCACTTGGCTGCAGCATGCTGTCGCCATTCCAACCAGAAATTGGCACAAATGCTACTGTGATGGGGTTGTAGCCAATTTTCTTAATATAAGTGCTGACTTCCTTAACAATTTCCTCATATTTCTTCTGGGTGTAGGGTGGCTAGGTAGAATCCATTTTGTTAACACCAACAGTTAGTTGTTTCACGCCCAGTGTGTAAGCCAGAAGGGCATGCTCTCAGGTCTGCCTATTCTTGGAGATACCAGCTTCAAATTCACCAACACCAACAGCAACAATCAGGACAGCACGGTCAGCCTGAGATGTCCCCGTAATCACGTTTTTGGTGAAGTCTCTGTGTCCTGAGACATCAATGTCCAATGACGACAATGTTGATACGAGTCTTTTCCTTTCCCATTTTGGCTTTTAGGGGTGTTCTGGTGGCAAACCCATTGCAAAAAAGTACCACAGTTTCTTTATCCACTCGTTGACTGATGGTTATTTGGGTTGGTTCCACGATTTTGCAATTGCGATTGTGCTGCTATAAACATGCATGTGTGAGTATCTTTTTCGTATAATGACTTCTTTTCCTCTGGGTAGATACCCAGTAGTGGGATTGCTGGGTCAAATGGTAGTTCTACTTTTAGTTCTTTAAGGAATCTCCACACTGTTTTTCATAGTGGCTGTACTAGTTGACATTCTCACCAGCAGTGTAGAAGTGTTCTCTGATCACTGCATCCATGCCAACATCTACTGTTCTTTGATTTTTTGATTATGGCCATTCTTGCAGGAGTAAGGTGGTATCGCATTGTGGTTTTGATTTGCATTTCCCTGATCATAGTGATGTTGAGCATTGTTTCTTATGTTTGTTGGCCATTTGCATATCTTCTTTGGAGAATTTTCTTTTCATGTCCTTAGCCCACTTTTTGATGGGATCATTTACTGATTTGTTTGAAATCCACAATCCCCATCAAAATACCACCATCATTCTTCACAGACTTAGAGAAAACAATTCTAAATTTCATATAGAACCCACATAGCCAAAGCAAGACTAAGCAAAAAGAACAAATCTGGAGGCATCACACTACCTGATTTCAAACTATACTATAAGGCCATAGTCACCAAAACACCATAGTTCTGATATAAAAATAGGCACACAGACCAATGAAACAGAATAGAGAACCCAGAAATAAACCCAAATGCTTACAGCCAACTAATCTTCGACGATGCAAACCCAACCATAAAGTGGGGAAAGGATACTCTTTTCATCAAATGATGCTGGGATAATTGGCTAGCCACATGTGGGAGAATGAAACAGGATCCTCCTCTCTCACCTTATACAAAAATCAACTCAAGATGGATTAGGGACTTCCATCCTGAAACTGTAAAATTCTAGAAGATAACGTTGGAAAAACCCTTCTAAACCTTGACTTAGGCAAGGATTTCATGACCAGGAACCCAAAAGCAAATTCAGTAAAAACAAAGATAAATAATTGTTACTTAATTAAACTAAGGAGCTTTTTTTTTTTTTTTTTTTGAGACGGAGTCTTGGTCTGTTGCCCGCGCTGGAGTGCAGTGGCCGGATCTCAGCTCACTGCAAACTCCGCCTCCCGGGTTCTCGCCATTCTCCTGCCTCAGCCTCCCGAGTAGCTGGGACTACAGGCGCCCGCCACCTCGCCCGGCTAGTTTTTTGTATTTTTTAGTAGAGACGGGGTTTCACTGTGTTAGCCAGGATGGTCTCGATCTCCTGACCTCGTGATCCGCCCGTCTCGGCCTCCCAAAGTGCTGGGATTACAGGCTTGAGCCACCGCGCCCGGCCACTAAGGAGCTTTTGCATGGCAAAAGGAACAGTCAGCAGAGTAAACAGACAACCCACAGAACGGAGAAAATCTTCACAATCTATACATCTGACAAAGGACTACTATCCAGAATCTACAATGAACTTTTTTAACTTTTATTTTAAGTTCAGGGGTACATTTGCAGGTTTGTTATATAGGTAAATTTGTGTCACAGTGGTTTGTTGTACAGATTATTTCATCACCCAGGTATTAAACCTAGTACCCATTAATTATTTTTCTTGATCCTCTCCCTCTTCTCATCCTCCACTCTCTGAAAGGCCCCAGTGTGTGTTGTTCCACTCTATGTGTCCATGTTTTCTCATCATTTAGCTACCACTTATAAGTACAAACATGTGATATTTGGTTTTCAGTTCCTATGTTTGCTAAGGATAATGGCCTCCACCTCCATTTATGTTCCTGCAAAGGACATGATCTTATTCTTTTTTTATGACTCCATGGTATTCCGTGATGTATATGTATCACATTTTCTTTATCCAGTCTACCATTGATGGGCATTTAGGTTGACTCCATGTCTTTGCTATCATGAATAGTACTGCAGTGAATATACACGTGCATGTGTCTTTATGATAGAATGATTTATATTCTTCTGGGTATATACCCAGTAATAGAATTACTGGGACAAATGGTCTTTCTGTTTTTAGGTCTTTGAGGAATCACCACACTGTTTTCCATATGGTTGAACTAATTTAAACTCCCACTACAGTGTATAAGTGTTCCTTTTTCTCCACAACTTTGCCAAGTATCTGTTCTTATTATGTTTTAAACTTTTTAATAATAATTATTTGGACTGGTGCAAGATGGTATCTCACTGTGGTTTTGACTTGCATTTCTCTAATGATCAGTGATATTGAGCTTTTTTGATATGCTTGTTGGCTGCATGTATGTCTTCTTGAAAAGTGTGTGTTCATGTCCTTGGCCCACTTTTTAATGGAGTTGTTTGTTCTTTTTCTTGTAAACTTAAGTTCCTTATAGATGCTGTGTATTACACCTCTGTGAGATGCATAGTTGGCAAAAATTTTCTCCCATTCTGTAGGTTGTCTGTTTACTCTGTTGATAGTTTCTTTTGCTGTGCAGCTTTTCAGTTTAATTAGACCCCATTTGTCAATTTTTGCTTTTGTCATGATTGCTTTTGGCATCTTGGCTATGAAATCTGTACTTGTTCCTGTGTCCAGAATGGTATCACCTAGGTTATCTTCCAGGGTTTTTTATAATTTTTGGTTTTACATTTAAGTCTTTAATCCATCTTGAGTTGATTGTTGTATATGATGTAAGGGAAGAGTCCAGTTTCAATCTTCTGCATATGGATAGCCAGTTATCCCAGCACCACTTCTGAATAGGGAGTCCTTTCCCCATTGCTTGTTTTTATCAGCTTTGTCTCAGATCACATAGTTGTAGGCATGCAGCCTTATTTCTGGGCTCTCTATTCTGTTGCGTTGGTCTATGTGTCTGTTTTTGTAGCAGTACCCTGCTGCCTTGGTTACTGTAGCCCTATAGTATAGTTTGAAGTCAGGTGGGATGTTGCCTCCGGCTTTGTTCTTTTTGATTGGGATTGCCTTGGCTATTCGGGCTTTTTTTGGTTTCATGTCAATTTTAAAATAGTTTTTTCTAGTTATGTGAAGAATGTTATTGGTAGTTTAATAGGAATAGTGTTGAATCTATAAATTGCTTTTGATAGCAGCGGCCGGCCGTCTGTGGCTGCAGCAGGGAGGTGCACTGCAGTGGTGGCAGGAGTGACTGCGGGAGCAACAGTGGTGCTGGTGGAACTCCTGTGCCCTGCATCCCCTGTGCCCTGTGTTCCCGAGGCAGCTGACTGCGCCACTCCCACCCTTGCACGGCCTAACAGGACCCACTCCCAGGCCTGGCGCCTCCACTGCAGCCTCAACCTTGCTCCCCGCTGCGTCCCAGGAGCCCACTGCCCTGGGCACCACCACAATGGGGCCGGGCTGAGTCACCCTCCAGCAGGGGAGCAGCCTGGTTGGGCACAGAGGGGCAGGCAGAGAGGAGCCCTGAGGTGGAGCTGTGTACACGGTGGTGCCACACTTCACAGAGCCAGCTGAAACCAGGAGGAGGCAGGTGCCCCACCCTTCTGGATGTGGCTACAGCTGCCCGAGTCAGGGCTGCAGTTTCCCAAGTCACGGCTGCAGACCGGGGCCTCCCTGTGTTCTTGGGGGCTGGGAGCAGGCAGGAGCCCCACCCTCCCAAGCACAGGGAGGACCTAGGCATCTCGGCACTTTGAAGGCCCCCTTTCCATTTGCTGAGGAGTGTTTCGTTCCCATTATGTGGTCGATTTTTCAATGTGTGCCATGTGGTGGTGAGAAGAATGTATATTCTGTTGCTTTTGTGTGGAGGGTTCTATAGAAGTCTGTCAGGCCCATTTGATCCAGTGCTGAGTTCAGGTCCTGAATATCTTTGTTAATTTTCTGACCCGATGATCTGTCTAATACTGTCAGTGAGGTATTGAAGTTTCCCACTATTCTTGTATGGATGTCTAAATCTCTTTGAAGGTCTCTATGAGCTTGCTCTGGGAATCTGGGTGCTCTTGTGTTGGGTGCATATGTATTTAGGATAGTTAGGCCTTGTTGAATTGAACCCTTTGCTATTACGTAATACCCTTCTTTGTATTTTTTTTTTTTTTTTTAATCTTCATTGGTTTAAAGTCTTTGTCTGAAATTAGGATTGCAACTCCTGCTTTTTTCTGTTTTCCATGTGCTTGGTAGATTTTCCTCCATCCCTTTATTTTGAGCCTATGGGTGTCATTGCATGTGAGATGGACTGCAAGAGTGGGCCACTCCATATCTATTTAACTCCTCACTTCCCCAGGAGCTGCTCAGGGCCAGGATCAAGTCCTCATGCTCAGCAACCCTGTGCAGGGCTTCCAGCTTCCTCCCCTTCCAGCTGAGGGCCTGCCTCCCTCACTCCACTCTCAATGCCTTCCTTTCAAAGATCTGCTTGCTGTATGCTGGGCTTCTTGATGGTCAGTCTCTAGGTGGGAGAAGCTCTTCCTGGCTGCATCTGGTTGGCTATCTCAGCTCCTCTCGCCAATCAGAACCAATTTTTTAAAAAAACTAAATCATTCAAATTGAATTCTGAGATTTTAAGTCTGAATTTAAGAAAGAACCTCTATACACTTGTAAGAAATATATGTTACATATGAGGTTCCAGAAATGTTAAAAATTAATATGTAGAAAAGATACATCATGCAAACACTAGCAAAAGAAAATTACTGTAGTGTAAGTGAATAGCAAGGTAGGCTTTAATACAAAAGATAAAGCTAGAGATAAAGCAGGACAAGGAATAATGACACAGGGGTCAATCCAAAAGCAACGTATAATAATTATAAATCTGAATATTCCTAATTACTTAGCTTCAAAAAAGTAACTAAAATAAAAGTGGAAATAAGCAACTTCACAACTATGGTGAAAGACGTTAATACACTTTTTGGGATAGCTTATATAATAAGGAGAACAAAAAATCAGAATGGGCTAAAAATTTGAACAACGCAACTAACACACATAACCAAACATATGTGTATATGTCTATATGTATTTATATGTGTGTATATATTTATATGTGTATGCATATATATGTATATAT